AGGGCGCACAGCAGACGGCACGTCATCATCATCGTGAGTGTGGTCGTTCAGTGGTGTGGAGCTGATCTGCACAGTGAGGAAAATGGAGAGCAACAGAGGAGAAGAGAGGTGCGGCAGACACACACGGAGGGCAAACCACACAAGACGAGAGAGCAGCAGCCAGGCGTGCACCGTACGCCGCACAGCACGCACGACACACACTCCAATCCGCGGCAACAGGCACACACAAACACACACAGTCATGCAGCGAGAACAACACACAGATGGAGGAGGGAGAGACCAGCAAGGGCGGCACACAAGGCCCCACCACATGTACTACACATGGCGAAGGCGTCTGTCGTGTCCGCACCCCTCACGGACGGCCTTCACGCAAAAGTGGAGGCGCAGCGCCCACAGCAACAAAAAAGCAATGAAACAAGAAAAAAGCAATCCCCGCACACCACGAGAATTCATTTTCCACGGTAACTGCAGGCAATATTCATCACAAGGACAATACATTTTCCTCTGGCCTTCTCTCGCCTTCAGCACACGCCACTTCATGCAAGCGCAGCCACCATCGCGGCAGCAGCAGCAGCACACACACAAGAAGCAAAGTGAAGGAGTGGACTGGGAGACCGCGGTGCTGCGGTGCTGCCGTCACCGTCGCCAGTAGCTGCCGCAACATTTGCTCTGGTGGTGGTCGCCGGTGCTGTCCCGAAACCTCCATGAACGTCTTTCGAGTAGCATCGGTGTTCTCACGTCGGCGTTCCTCTTCCGCCGTTGCAGCATCAGCCTGTTGAGTGTTGACGGAAACCTTCTCGGGGCACGGCCCACCTCGATGGGTGACAGTATCATCTTCACTTCGACCGGGAGATGACTAGGGCATTTGACCTGGACCCTCGGAGTCTGTATGCCGCGTGGTACCAGAGGGGTTGGAGCTTCCTCTGGCTTTGGTGGACATTCGGTTGTGCCCCCGCTCTGCTTTTCATCCAGTGATGGTGGACGCAGCCCCGACACCTGCTGCTGGGTGCCGAGCGATGCTCCCTGATTCCCTGATGAGTGTCCTTGTGCCGCAGCTGCTCCTCGACCCCCTGATCTATGGGGGACCTGAAGAAGCTGGTGGTCCGCCTCCTCCTCCTCCTGGCGCCAGCACCTGTTTTTGCTGCTGAGTGAGTTCCCGGGCGGTTGCCACGCCCCCAGCTTCCCCCGCCTCGTCCCTGCGGCCATCAGTAGAATGCGCTGAGTCCCCAGAGACACCTGAGGATGTGTGGCCACGGTCGCCAGCATTACCCACCCGGTAGGAGGACTGCTGCCGCCGGCTGATGGAGCTCGAGGCGGAAGGTGCGAGTCTGCGTCGCCCCTGACACCCACCCCCAACACGTACAATGATGCACTCGACAATGGTTTTCCACAAATATCCCTGAAAGCCCCCTCCTTCCCCCCGCAGCCGCCCCTTTCCTCGTCATTCTTCGCCTCCGCAGAAACAACGGTCCCTAGTAATCTCAGCGGTGCAATCAGCCTCCAGTCCGCCTTCAGAAACTCGCCGTCACTCTCCCCCTTGCTCATGGCCATCATTTCGCGTCCCCCACTCTCAGTGCAGTGCTCGTGCCACGAGCAGCCACCGTCACGGGCGCACCGCACCACAGCACGCACGCAGCACACAACAGCACCACACGGCTAGCCATCATCACATCCAGTAGAGCCACCTAACACTGTGGAGCCGCCCTGCAAGAGCATGGGAGAGCAAAAAGAAACAAGGCCGCTACACCACACACAGCCACCGCACAAAAACAAACGGCAGCAGCAGCAGCAGCACACAAAAGCAATAAAACATCAGAATAATCTTCTGGGCAGCTGGCCGGATCCTGAAATAATCTATGGAAACCAAACAAGTTAGGAAAAAAGGTTCGTTAGTTAATTGCTTCAATGTTTTCTTTTCATTCAATATATATATATAAATTCTGTGGACCACTAGCATGGTCCTTAGTCCTCAGTTAGGATTTACATATTATTACTTACGAAGTGGCAGACTTTGGGGTCCTCCAACCACAAGACCCCGCCGCGTGGTGGGAATCAAAAGGGGGTGGGTGGGATGGCAAAATAAAAACAAATATTATCTGGCCTCTATCGGCTCCCTGCCCCTACAAAGTCGCGTTCTTCCCAAAAGATTCATACGGCAGAAAAGTATCATAAAGAATGTCTGCATTTATCAGGATGTACATTCATTAATTAAGTTAGCCAGCTCTCCCGCGATCATTCTTTTCACAAGCTCCTAAAAATAAGAAAAAAAAAAAAAGCAGAATAATCTTCTGGGGCGCTGGCCGGCTCCTGAAATTATCTCAAGAAAACAAAAAAGATAGGGAAAAAGTGGGTTAGCGCAGAAGCGGCTAAATGCCTCAATGTTTTCTTGTGATAAAATATATGTATTCTGTTGACTACTCACGCGGCCTTTTGAACTCAGGATCTGGAATATTATTACTTACGGAGTGGCGGACTTTGGGGTCCTTCAGCCACAGGACACCGCCGCTTCCCCTCGCCAAGTACTGAATTGTAAAAACACGACCGCGCGGTATGCCGTCTGCGCGGTTGTCTGCAGACCGTACGTAGGCAAAGGATGCCTGTATTCCGCGAGAGTCAAAAAAAACTCATATATCCGTCGCAGCTCCCACATCATGGGGTGTGATTCCAAGCTACCATTATTCGCCGCTCCTTGCAGCGAAGTGCTGTCTACCAAAACGTCCACGGTGCGTGGCAAGATGTCGGAAAAAGCCGACACGGCAAAGCGTACCGCGCGCGCCTCGGCCTGCATGATGAGAAAACGCTTCCTCTTCCATTTCCCTCCGGCAATTTTAACGTCGCCGCAGCTGGAATGAAAACGGCTCCTCCTCATCCATGGAGCGATGCATCCGTGATGATGGTGGTCGATGCCTTTTCCGTGGGATTGATGTTTCGCCGACGATTATTCTCGCTGATGTGTCGCAATCCCTCGCCCAAGCCAACCGCTGCCGGCGGAAGGTTCGCCGGGGATGTCTCCTGCACCATCCCCCGGTCAAGTGCGGATAATCGTCGTCGCACTGCCTTGATGAAAAAGTGGCAGTCACATAAACGCGTGCCCAAAATGGCCGCCACGTACAAAAAGCGTGACGCCATACCTCCATTTCCGCGATGGTTAAAGATTTTAGCGACGGCATGGCGCGCACAGACCGGACAAACTTGTCGCTCAGGGACACCGCCCGGTGAGTATGATCAAACCGCGCCCCCGACGAAGGTGTACTGCGTGGCTCCCGATTCGCTGTCCTTCCCCATCGTGGCGTGACGGCCATCCGCATTGCGAAGCACTTGGGCCTCCCACGATGTCGCATCGCTTTTCGACACTGCGATGCGCATATTGTCGATCCAAACGCCGACACGCACCAACGAAGATGCAGCCCAGAGGCGGTGAACCACCGTCGTCACCTCGGCAACTGCTAATAATAATCTGGAGAACTTCTGGGCTGGCCTTGCATCCTATTGGGAGCCGTGCCAGCTCCACCAGCGCGCCGTCCTCCACGCAGAATCGAAAGGGATGCCGAGTCTCCCGCGGTAAAAAGAGTTGAAAAAAGACGCCTTTAATTCCAGGCAGAAAGCGGCCTCAGCCATCACAGGCGGCAAATAATGGGAAATGCGCAAAAAAGGAACATGAGCCTCGGAAGGGTCGTGTCTGTTCTTGTCGCGCGGCCCCGCAATCCATCGTCGTCGAAAACCGGTGGGTTTCTCCTCCGCAAACAAACGAAAAGGGTATTATCCATCCACCTGTTATCGCGGAATAGGCGTCCTCAATTGTTCCCACTTAATTCAATAATCGCGCGTCGTCGACTGGAATCCTCCGTGGGCTTTCGTCTGATGTGGCGGAGGGCTGGGGAAAAGGGGAACCGCCCGACGTGTCCTTGTCGCGAGTCTTGTGATTGCGGCGGGGTGATGATAAAAACCACGGAAAACACGCTCCTCTGCTGTCAGCCAGGATTCCTGCCCTTCCGCAGTTTCCCCCTCACACCAACGCGGCCAGCGACGACGCCTGAGCCGGCGTTGTGGCGCGCTTCCCCGAATATCGCGCTGTGTCCTTGGAAGGTCGAACGGCTCGCCGTCATCCGCGCAAGTCGGAATGCAACCCGTCACTTCCATTCGGCCCGGCTGCGGGTAAATTGATCCGCCTCTTCCTTTTTAAAGGGCGCGTCCGCTTCGTCTCCGATCGCGCCGCGATTTTTTGCAACCTCAGAACCGCCACGCCCAGCGGAGTCCGATTCATTCGCGACATGGACCGCGGCATCCTGGCGTCCTGCGGTCGGGTCGGTGGCGCCGCGTCGTCGGTTGCCATCGAAAAGGCCGCGCGGCTCGCCTCTTTGTTCGGCTGTCCGCGTGTGCGGCGGAGGGTTGTGGGGCGCCCGCCTGCGACCTTCTCCGTTCCCACGCCGACGTCGCAAACAATTCCCGAGCCACCTTGTTCGCCCTCCTCGCGTCGCCGGCCCGAAGCGGGGTGCCGGAGCACCGTCGCGCCACAGTCGGGCTCCGTTGGCGAACAAGCCCCTTCACCCTTCTCGGCGATTGCGTCGGGCAATTTGAAACATCGGGTGGAGGTTCGGCGCGGCGCCTGTGCGGGACGGCGGGTGGTGGCGGCATGGGTGGGGCCGCCGCCGTTGTTGACGGCCGTCCGCGTCGCGATTGATTCCTTCTGGCCGCGCCTCGGGCTTTGCGTGCGGACGCCTCGCGCCCACAAATGCGACGCCGCTGACGTCGCACGGTCGTTGTGCCCCTCCCCGTTCCGCGAGAGGCCGGGCTGCCCTCGCAAAGGCGTCGGCTTCATGAGCGGCGGTGTGAAGTCGGGCGCGCTGTTTGGAGAGCGGGGTGTTGGGGTCCGACGCCGTCATGAGCTGCGTCCGGAATGCCTGCAGTAAGGTCCGGCCAAAATCCAAGAAACGATCGGCGGGATCGCGCTCCGCTTCCAGCGCGCGCGCGCGCGTCCACAAAGCCAAGCTGCCAAAGGGAGGTTCAGCCTGGCCGCCCGCCTGATGCCAATGATTTTGTGCGCCCCGGAGGTCGACAACGACTCCGGAAACGCCCTCATTCCACACACGTGCGGCCCGAGAAGTGGCGTCGAACGCGCGAAAACTTCGTTCCGCTTCTTCTGTGACAGAATGGGCGTCCGAGGGGAGGGTGTAAGAGGGCAAAGGCAATGGAGGGATAGAAACGCAGCCTCCCAAAATTGCCCTGGGACGAATGGGGAATAACCCACCGTCTCTCGTCCGCCGGACTTCGTCGGGCCGTGCGTGGCGGCGCGCCCCCAACCACCAAACGACGCGTCGGACGCTGCGGTTGTTTGGTGACACCATCTCCGGCCGTATTTTGACGCGTGTCAGGTCCATCTGCCGGGCCTCTCCGAGAGGTGGGGGCTTCTTCCCTGCCCGCCGTCTCCGCCTCCCGCGCGGCTCGCTGCGCCTCTCTGGCGCCAGCGCGCGCCTCTCGTTCCTGTAGTTGGGCGCGGGTCGCCTCCAACTGCTGTTCGCGTCCGGCGACCGCGATGTCAACTTCGCGCGCCGATAGGCTATTATGCGCCTCTTCCGCCCGCGTGTGAAGCTCGGTGTTTCGATCCCGCGCGCCCGCGATGGCATAGGCGTGGTCCGTGCCCCAGCGCTCCCCTTCCGCGAGGATGGGCCCTCGATGGACCCCCAACTCCCGGGCCGCGCCCGCACGATGAGCAGGAGCGATCGGGTCTCAAAATGTGGTACTTGGGGCGCCCGGAGATTCGCAACATGTCCTGTAAGGCCCGAATCCGCCCAGGGTTTGGTGGTGGGTCCCGAAATCCATGCGCAATTCTGTCGTTGAGGCGGCCGCGGTTAACGTCGCATCCGAATTCCCGGTTTCATCAATGAAGGTGAGCTGCGCCTGGGCAGCGCCATGTTGGCGTACCAATTCTGAATGTCGGGCGCCAATATCGCTCCACTCGGAGGCCGTTTAATAGGAACCAACGCCATTTCCTTAAGCCAACCTCGCTGTGTCTGTAAATTTAAAAATAATTGTCTGGCCTCTATCGGTTCCCTGTTCCCCATAAATTCGTGTTCTTCCCAAATTTCTAAGATAGGAAGGGTGTCGCAAAGGAGTGGGTTCATTTTATCAGGATATATATTAGATTAATTCAGCCAGCTCTCCTGCAACCATTCTCTTCAGAAACATTTTAAAATAAGATCCAAGGAGAAAATCAATTGGCAGTAAAATAATATGAATAAGGCATTACTGGTTTTTTTTTTATTAGTGACTATTTAATTTGTTTTTATATTTGTAGTTTTCATGACAATTATTAATATTAATATTTTCTTATTTTTGTTATTATTGAATTTATATTTATGTTTTGATTTTTATTTATTTATTATTAACATTTAATTTTTTTTTATTTATTTTCATTTTGACTATTGTTTATTTATTTTTATCTTAAATATTGCCTATTCTTTTATTTTAAATATTGTATATTTATTTTTATTTCGATATTATTTAATTATTATTATTTTAAATAGTATTTATTTCTTTTTATCTTAATTATTGTT